CAGGTATTCTCCCTCAAAATAGCTTATAATCCTCACAGCTTGACTTGAAATTATTACCAAAAGAATCACCACATTTTTCTGAATAGGATAGGCGATAAAGTGACTGAAAATATCCTATGGGCCAAATCGGCTTCTTATGCGCCCCTGTCCTTTGTAGTATGATTTGATTCTTTCAGAGCAATCAAGAAATAATTGACATTATTTCCTGAAGGCTTAAAAGACATCAAAGATTAACCATCGTCTCGTTAGTTTGCAATCACGATAACATTCGGAAATACTAAACAGAATCTTTGTTTCAATAATAACGATTCTTATATTACATTTTATATAAATCATATACCAACCGATCTAAGTCGCGCTACCATTAAGAGCACCGTATGAAGTTATAAAAAAAAAATAACCACGTAAACTAATTCAGCGTGTTTGAATGTCTATAGTAAAATTTGAGAAATTTTGAACAAGAAAAAGTTTCGATTTTGTAATATGTAACAATAGCTAATGATTGTTAATTTTATCAGTAAGTAACTAATTGTAACTTCTCATATGCCATCCATTCTAGCTAATAAAAAGACTTTCCTTCATTTAGTTTGAAAAATTGCCCGTGTAGGTTTCGTAGAATAGCTGACACGACTTCAATGAATGGAATGAAACAAGACCGACTCTTCGATCGTAACTATTTCACTGTTAATTCTTTACAAGTTTCTGTTTACTAGTGAAAAGAGACACACTAATAATGATGCTTTGAAATATTACAACTTCGAAAATATCTAAAGTCTATCATCATTATTACATTTTCTGTACTTCATAGCATATCTGTTGGACTCCGAAATCTTTTCCACGTAAATTAGCAACAATTCACATTTACGGTGACGTAAAACTGATGAAAATACATTTAATAACGAAAGTGAAGATATTGAATAATGATGATCTTTTTCGTTTTCGTGTTATATGACTATCGAATTGACAGTTTTTATTTGCTGGATGTTACAATTCTCAAAAAATAAATTCTACATAAAAAAAAAAAACTTTTCTGTAGAATTATAACTGCAAATCTCAATAGTTTTGGTATGCCCTATGGAAACATCTTAAAACTGCACATGCACATTTAATAACAAAGATTTTCTCAAACAACGTTTTCTGTATTGTGCCTAACTCTGATTCATATATAAAACTATGAATGTCGTACGATTATTTTTCTTTATTTTAGTTTAAATATTCCACTTGAAGTATTAATTCAACCTGATTTACGTGATCTATATACTGATGAAGATATTCATCAATCTCTTGAACTTTATATCAATGAAATGTATCCATCACTTCGTCCATTTACATTTGATTTAGCTTATTTAATTAATGAATCACCAACATTAAAACGTTTTATTGAAATGGGTGTTGATGTTTATCGTTGGAATCAACCAAATACAAAAGCAAAATATATTTTAACACTTAATTTTGAACGTGATTGTATTCCACATCTTGTTTTTCTTAATGAATTAGGTATTAAAAATAAACATCTTTCTCAATATCTTAGTTACAATCCATGGATATTTAAAGAACCTCTTGATGATTTACGTGTACGTATAAATTACCTTGAAAGCAAAGGTTTTAATCAAGATAATATTCGTGATATACTTATTCGTGCACCATTTTTATTAAATTTAAGTACAAAAATGATTGATACAAAATTAAATTGGTTTATAAAAAAATTTCATTTAAATGATAATGATATATATGAATTTGTTATTCGTTCACCTAAACTTCTTACTTTACCATTACAAGATATAAGTAATACATATTTTAATATGCATTCATTATTAGGTTTTGAACATGTTCAATTACAAAAAATATTTCGTCAATATCCAAAATTATTTATATATGATTATAAATTAATTCAATTAAATTTTGATTTTCTTTTTAATGAAATGAATATAACACGACAACGTTTAATGGATTATCCACCTATACTTAAACAAAGTTTTCAACAATTACGTACACGTTGTTTATATTTAAAATATATAAAACATAATCAATTTGATCCAACTAAACCAAATTTTGTTTCATTAAAAGATCTTTGTTTAAAAACAAATGATCTTTTTTGTCAATATGTTACAAAAACATCTATGCAACATTATTTAAACTTTATGAAAACATTGTAAATTTTGTTTTGTTTTTGTTAAAAAAAAAAGAAAAAAGAAAACATTCAAAAAATAAAAAACCAAAAATGTTTTTATTTTAAACAAAAGAAGTTTTTACCAACAACATTTATGATTGAACTATTAATCAATGTTTTATCATGCAAAAATGTGACTTAAGAATTATATGAATTTCGGTTTGATTCGAAACTCCGGTGACCTTTCAGCTTAGGCTCAAATTTCTTTCAGTAGCTTTCTTAAGAGCCACAGATCCTATAAAAAACTTGATACACTCGGTTTAGCTTAGTAGCTTACATTTTTAATAAAACGTAGTGTCCAGTAGAACTGACATAGCGCTGAGTAATTTACTTTGATTCTATCAGAAATGGTACGGTCTTTTCAGATAATTATTACTTGTATGTAATCATTGCCAATGTAAAAAGTGATGTTTCTCTAGTGATCAGCAGGACCCATCGTTTTTGGTTCTGGTTTCGTACTTAATAATGAATATACTAGAGAAAAATGTGACATCATTTTTTTAGCAATATTAATGAGCTTGAGATATCTTGCACGATTCGCATAATTCCTAATATTCTCCCCCTTAGAGATTCATTGCGTTTTTTTGAATGCATTACTACTTTTGTTTGTTTTGCACGTTTATGTGTTTGACAGCTTTGTGGTTTACGGAAAAAGGATTAATCTTACTATCACAACTGTAAGAGCAAATATTGAAGTAATCATTGCTCAACAATTATCGTGCAAACTTTTACAAAACATAAGTCATGAGAAAATAACGTTTGACGCAAGTTTTACACGACAATACAATACATCACTACCAGTGAAAAAGTATTGTTTTTGCCGGAAACAAGACCATCTTGTTCATGTCTATGTTCCTTTGATGATGGCAGATGTGTCAAAATTCGAACCTTCTAATTAATCATCGATGTGATTTGAAAATTGTATCAACGTGAAAGTTAGAGAGTATTTTATTGAGGATACTTAGAAAAACTCAGTTGGAAGATAATAATTAACATTTATTTCTTTAGCACTTGTTGCTATTGGAGTTTATTATACTTTATATGAATACTGTCGACGAATATATCATAATAAAGTGACTACATAAAAAACAATCTAATAAATAATATTAATGATTTTCTTACAAAGAAACTTTATTATATTTAGATTTGTATTTTTGTTTGCAGATGTTTATTCATGATACACCAGCAGCATTCTATGGAAGAGGTATCAAAATAACACCTGATATACTCGAAGTTAGTTGAGAAAAAGTTAGATTTTTCAGTAATGTTTGCTTTTTAATAGAAATGGTATTTAGAATTTAATGATAATATAGACGAATTTCAAAACTATTTACTTAATCAAACACTCGATAATCCATTGTTTGCTTCTTGGTCTCTTCGAGTTAAATATCGAGAAACATTTATTAAGACAATTATTGCATGGGTAAGATTGTTTGATAATATTTAGTCATGCACCGACCTCGAACTTTCGGATTCAGTCTTGATTGCGATCACATTTAGTCAATTAATAAAAGAAAATCGAATTATTCCAAGAGATAGAATTTAAAGCTCAAGTATTATAGATCTACACACAGTAAAAGAATTGACATAAAAACTGAAGATTTGCAGGCATAATAAAAGAAAGTCAATAATGTTCAAAAATACTCAAAACCATAGTTTAGGATGCTTTCATGATTGCGTTTATAACGGATGGCGCATAATCCATGGGACAATATATGTTCCTCATTTCACAGCATTTTCCAAACCGTTAGAGACTGTGTTTTAGACTTATTCGATAGAGAATTCTCTGCTCTATAAAATTACCGTTTTTGATTTTAAAATAATTTGTTTTTTATCGACGCAAAATTAATAAGATGGACAACTACTCATTCGTCTAAATACCATTTGTGCCAGGAACGATACTAAAAGTAAAGTATTTGGTACCAATGGATAGAAATTTTACGCTTTCTGCTTCCACGAGCTTTTTAAGGTTTCTTCTGCTGCCTATCTAGTAGTATTTTGAGACACATTAAAAAAAACTCTTTTTCCAAAGCGAAACTTGATCTATGACACATTTATTCTTATGTCACTGGATGTAGAATTCAATTCTGAATAAAATGGTCCGATTGTTATATTGAAGAGTAAACACGCTAGGTTATATCAAATGAAAGAAGAACAATGACTTAATTCTGCTTGAATAGGGGTTTTTCAGATTTTTAACTTCAAAAGATTTTCTTGCGTATTTCTTTTTCGAAAATTCTGAAACGCATATCAAAAGATATAGAATTTTGTCAAGAACTTTGTAGCATATTTGAAACTTCAGCAAAGCCTTGAAAAAAAATTTTTTTTTCGCGTTTTTGTCCGTCGCAATTAGAGGACTAGGTGTTCTTTATTTTAATTTTGAGCTGACAAAAAAAAAAAAACAAAGTCTCTTATGTCTTGGGAAGTGTCTCGACAGTAAGAAAATGTTTTCTCCCGTTTATTATGCGTCACCTGTTATCTGAAGAAATGTTTGAACAATTACTAAAGTATCCAACACTATCTGAACTGATTGGATAGATTCCACAGATACAGAATTGTATCAATACGAGATTTTTTCTTTTAAATTTAGCTTGAGAAACATGATAATACTGAAGTAAATAGTCGATGGTATGAATTGATAGTTGATTTAGCAAGTCGAGGATCATGTGACCAAGATTGGTGTCATACAATATATATTCTTGTGCGTAAGATTTTACATTCAAATGTAAACTTTTAATCAGATTTTTCATTGGATAAAAAATTAGGATAATAATCAATGTGTTATTCATCGACAAAGTACAGCATTACTTAGTCATGGTCTTACTGGTCTTTCTAATTGGCCTGCATCGATATGTCTTGGTGATTATCTAATGAAAAGAATACATCTTCTAGAAAACAAGTATTCATTATAAAAACTATTATTTATTGATTTCTATTGGTTTTTATTTAATAGACGTATAATCGAACTAGGTGCTGGATCAGGTCTACTTGGTTTAGCTTTATTAAAATATTCAGATAAAATTTTATCATATACATTTACTGATTATTCTCCAATGATTTTGAATTTATTACGACAAAATATATTACTTAATTTTTCAGATGATGAATTCAATGTAATTATATAAGAATAATATAAATGATTTACTTATTATTTATTTCGTTTAGAAACGAATAAAAATTGACGAATTAGATTGGAATCAATATTCAATAGATGAAAATAACCAAGATTGTTTTAATTTCATTTTAGCTACAGGTAAATTAAATATATTATTTTCTGCTACATGATTAACATTTTCTTTATAATCAGATGTTGTTTATGATCCATCAGTAATTGAAAGTTTAGTAAAGGTAATTAAAATTCTTTTACAAATGAATAAACAATGTTCTGCTTATATTGCAAATGCTATTCGTAATGAATCAACATATAATCAATTCCGACAATCATTAAGTATGATATTTGGGTTTTACAACAACAAAAAAATACTTAAATAATATTGTTTTGTTTTTTCTTAGATGAATCATCGTTGAATATTTGTTCTATTGATACAGACACTGTTCAATCTATTGAAATTCTTCAACTTACTATTTCGTCTTAAAAAATTTTTTGTTATTAATATATAAAAATTAGATGATCACAGTTTTTTTCTGATAGCCGGAAGAAATTGTTTTGTATGAAGTCTCCAAGCATTCATATACATATATATTTTTACTTATGTAATAATAACAGTAAATATCAATGCGATTTGAAGATTATGGATGACAAATGTAAAAAAAAGAAACAAAAATAATAATTTTACAATTGGCACGTACAGCCACTATTCTTGAAAAATGTCTCAATAGAAACGCATTTATCGTTTGTCATCGCTTTTAATACTTAATAGCACATCATATTTGCCCTTTGTTTTCACAACAAGCAAATTATACCGAATTATAGCAGGTCAACTTGATTCGATTCGGTCTTGATGAAGTACATCTCTATCAACGAATGTTCGTCAGTGTTTGCATCCTATTCCGAATTAGCCTCGTCATTCTTAGGGATGTATAGTTTCAGTAAACTGTTCACTGTCAGTATTTTCACCGGAGCTACACATCTCTATTTGTTCTGCTTAACCTTTCAAGTAGAGTTTGACGGTTTCAAAAAAAATGAAATTGAGAGCCGAATTGGAATTGGTTAAATCATTAGATAGATAGAAAATTTTTTAAATCTGTGTCAACAAGAAAATAAAAGTATAAAAATGCTCAGCTCTGCTGACTTGACTATTCCTTTTTTTTTTTTTTTTATAAAAAAATAATTTGCTGACATAAAAAACAATAAATCAAACAAAATAACAATAATTATAATTCAGATTTTCTCTTCCATAAAAATAAATACACATCAATAACTATCAGCGGGTATAAAAATATCAAATTGACCTGTAAGTACTTGCACGACATAATTGATCGTCATGTGATGTCTTAAAATAGCTAGATGTTCAACACCGGGTAATTCTAATGTATGAATATGTTGTTTTTGTTTATTATTCATATGCAATTGAATATTGTATATCGTCAAAAAAGTCTTTATATTGATAGACTGTCTAATTACATGTTTTGTTCAAAAATTGACACTTGGTATAACAAATGCAGTTGATGTTGCAGAACGTTGATAAGGACGAACACGAATTGATGAAACGACATAAACCTGAAGTAAATAATTAAATAAAAACTACTCGTGAAGACTTGGTCATTTGTTTCAAATATTATCACTAAAGACTGTTCAATTCAGTTTTTAATAAAAATTAAACAAAAAAAAAACAACATAATTTAAGACAGAACACGGGACATATACACTTTGCATTATTTACAAGGATTATGTTACTGAACGAATTCTTTTAGCATAGACTTGTGTAAAAATGTTGACTCTTTCACCCGCCTATCTCTCTAATCATATGAGAAAAAAAATCGAAAAACTTCAAGATAAACTTCACAACATGAACTATATCCATGGTAAAATCTTCAGTAAGATTGGACTCCAAAAGCTTTCTTTTAAAAACCAATCTTCTGGAGATCTCATGAAATTTTGAAACAACAATTTTTGTCTTACTATCATCTAGAACTTCTGAAGAAGAATTTGTATCGTTTAAAATTGGTTTGTGAACTTTTCATTCAACTATAAGAGTTAAAATGCATGAAGTGAAAGACGATGTTCTTTTTCCTAGTCTACCTTAGCATACATGTAACATAAAAATTAGATCTAGAAAAGTTCATTATCTCGCGATATACAAGTTTCCATTTTGGTAAATGACATCGCTAACAAATGAATTTGCACATTTACTGTAGAGATATGTAAGGTGAGCTTTTTCTGTATTCTGTATCTTGCTAGAGAGAGAAATTTTCTAGCCCTTATCCTACAGGGTCAGATAGGATGGGATAGCCCTGTGCATCTTTCAGATACTGACCAAGGGACGTTCCTAGATGCTAAAACACTTTCGAACTGAAATTTTATCCATAACTAAGAGATATATAGACTAGAGAAAGCCTAAGATGATATGGATACCAGTTTCCATTTCACTGAGATATCGACATTTTATTATAAGTGTCTCACATGACTCCACTTTACATCAATATTATCATCGCTAGCCATCAATCGAAGAGCTTTTATAGCACCACCCCATGATGCTGCAATATTGATCATTGAACGAATATATTTTTTCTTTAAAATCATTCGTAACCAACCTCTCATACTATGTGTTATATATGTTACAAGTTGTGTTAAACTCGTCAAAAAATCATCTTTGTTCATCAAGACCTCGTCGAAAATCATATCTATTGAGAAAATAAACTCATTTTATTAATTTAATTACAATAAATTCTTACGGTGCTTCACGTATATTAACATCACGTATATAACCACCATTACCAGGAATAAATATAGCTGGATAACGAATACTATCACCATTGATATTAGCATAAATACAAATGAAAGACAAAAGGAGAAGATATTAGTGACATATATAGATAAACAATCTAAAACTACAAAGTTTTAATTATCAACATAGTATCGTTTTTTTTCTGATTATTAATGATGTAATACAATGAGTATATTTTGAGAGTAAAGAGTATTTATTCAAGATGAGTGCATTTTCTTGTTAACATGGAATATTAGATCAATCAATCAGTATATTTTGAAGAAGAACTGAACTGAAAATAGGATTTCAAAAACCAGATGATATCTAACGAATGTAGTGCTAGCTATGATTCTCTGTTATAGTCGAATAATTTCTAGGCGAATATGGCATCCGATGTTGCTTCCCTTATATTCATCGATCATTTTGTATACATCAGTATTATCAATTTCATCAATGAGAATACTCCATTGATTAGCGACATCTGATGAGAAAATATAGGCTTGTAGTAATTCAATATATTAGAATAGTTTTTTTTTCTAATCAAAGATATTCGTTCATTGCTATTCGTAATATACAATTTGATTAGTATTACGATAGTTCTTCCAATTGAGTTGCAATTTATGTCGCCAGTACTCTATTCAACAATGATTTTCATCTGAAAACTTCAGTTAAAAAGAATGTTCCTTTGTTGAAATATTGAATTTCTAAAAAATGATCGTTTGTCACCAAAATTGAGATGCATCTCAAAGGACAAATTTTCAGTAAATACCTAAACCTGGACTGATAATTAGGTAAAATAGTCATAATTCGGCTACAGAGAACTATGAACACCAACCCCTTTTAGGACTTTACTAGTCTTACCAAGACCTCCTTGTCAACTAAATATAAGCGCAAACAATGGGTATTAGTTCGAATAGTTCCTTGTAAGTAGCTTCGATTCAAGTTGCAACATCCTCACGAAAGTTATCAAAAATAGACATGAGATAGCACTCTTATTCCTTTTTTGACGTTAGTTTTGACGAAAGTCTGACATGTGACTATTCGAATCACGATGTACAAAAAAAAATTTGTTTTCTTTTTCAAAGAAAACATACGCTTCAGTGTTGAATGATGAAAATGTGCCTCATTCCTCTTCTTACTTTAGCCATCAACAACAAAGCACACAATCTTTTCTTTTTTTTATTTCATCCAATGTCTCAACCATGCATTATTAACGGATGCAAACGTGCATCGCGCGCATTATGTCATTGCTGTCAACAGAATCTCTGTATACCTCATTTAACTGAACACAATGATATACTTAATTCTCAATTAAATCCTCTTATCGACGAAATTAATGCACTTGGAGATCGATTGAAGACATTTGATATTCAAAAAAAAACAGAAAATTGTCGTCAAATACTTGAACAGTGGCGTATAGATTGTCATGAAAAGATTGATCAAATTTTTGAAGAAAAATGTCAACAACTCAATCGACTTATTGAGGAAAAAGTTGAAAAACAACAACAAGAAGTTTCACGAGTACAATCAAAACTAGCTGAACTTATTCGTGAACAAGAAGCAACTCGTCAACATATTGATATGTTAACATCGAATATTAATCATCTTCAGAAAGAAATGAATAAGATCGAAGAAAGTTCTATTCATATAAATATTCATCCATTACTTATTGATACGAATTGTATTCATATCAATGAAACCAATTATCATGAATTTGATTTATCTACACTTTCATCGGCTTATAAAACAATTGATCGATCTGAGGAGACTAGCAGAGCATTGACAAGCAATGATCAATATTTGTTATTTCATGATGCACCTTATTTATGCTTACTTGATCGAAATTTGACATTAGTCAGTAAGAGCTTATGGGATCATGAGCATATCATTGATATGTGTTGGTCATCAACATTAAAACAATTTATTGTGCTCGAACTAAATAATATTTATCTTATCAATGAAAATACAATGTCGATTGAATCTATGGAAACCATTAGAAAAGAAAAATGGGCATCGTGCACATGTTCTGATAGATCTCTATTTTTATCAACTAGAGTACATGGTTCATGTATTTTAGAGTTCAGTCTATTACCTTCGGTAGACTTAATTAGAGAATGGAAAAATCCTGATTCATGTGCACAAACTGAAGATATCATTTGTATAGAGTATAATAATGAAACACTTGCATTATTAATAAGAAACAATGTGAATAAAACTATGAGAATGGAATTAAAATCTTCAATGACATTTGAAAGCATTTGGTCATTTCAACTTGATTTAGTATGTAACAAAGTGAAGACAATTCGATGTTGTTCATTAAGTGATGATGAATGGCTTATAGCTGATCATGAAAATAATCGTTTAATACATGTTTCAAAAGATGGTAAAATAAAGACAATGCTATCATATAATGATATTCCTTGGTTTGTTAACCTGTTCAGTCGAAATATTTTGGTTGTATCAATTAAAAATTTTAAACTGAACTTCCATAAAATCAATAACGATTTTTGAAATTTATTCTTTTCATCAAGTTTTAATTATGTCATAATGATTAATTGTATTATTTCATTATACAAAGGATTTTTTTTATTTGTTCTTTCAAAATTAATCGAGAATAAATAATGATTATTTTGAACGAGTAACGTTCATAGCTTTATAGCTTCAATAAGGTATGTAACGGAAATGTTGATCGGCTGAGCCGTACGCTCGTTGGATATTTGACACGTCATGGACTCACGGGTTCAATATTTTTACAATCTATAGGTTTCATGGGTCAAGTTATATCCTTATGTGTACCTGCGATTTTAACTCGTTCACCAGTTTTCTCTTTATTTTTTCGTTCGTCCATTAATTTAGTTGCTTCTACTGTTTTTTTCGTTATTCTTCAACTAGGTTCTTTCGATAAATTGTTTACATCACATCTTCCTTTTAGTGATTCATCTACTTGGTTTGTTGTGAAGTATGGGTCTAGGGCGTCAATTTTAATCTCAGACGCAGTGAACCACGAACTTCTACCTACATCCATATCTACACCAGTACAACATCAAGTTTATTGAATAATATATGGTGGGTTTGTTCGATGCACAAAATGGGAACAAATGGTACATATTTCACAGTGTTTGAGTATGCTTTCATCTTAGAATTCGTTTTTTTTTTGGCACAATTCGTGAGAAGAATTTTAACGGTGTTTGCTGCAAGTGCATAAAACCTCCAATGTGAATTGCTATCGAAAAAAAAAACAAACGGTTCAGTTATTCGTTGTTTTATACTACATATGAGAACAATGCTGTATGAGTCGTAGTTGTTGTTTCAACGATAGTCATATATTTAACATTATTTGAAGAGAACAAAGGAAATGCTCTGTATTTCTTGGTAAACGTTCAGCATTGATTTTCTCAGTCGTATACACACATTATCAATATATATATCAAACTCTCAGTATAAAACGTAGTGTTCAGTAACTACTATGCTCCTTGAGAA